GCCACTTTATGATCGTTTGAAGCATGAACTCCTTTATATACGACTACTATCCAATGCAGATCATGGATAGGAGTGTCGCGGCGTACTGGATACAAGTTCCAGGTCGTTTCTGCATCAGTTGATACAGCTCTATTATAGTTAAGGAAATTGAACTCAATACTATGAATGATATTTTATGGTGTGAATATTTTATCCTCTTTGGTTCCTACGTCCAGCTACAGAGGTCGAATACTCACTACTCTCTATGAACTACGTTGAGTGGAAGGATCTATTCATTTATATCCCTGTTAACAATTTTATCACCTTGATACTATAAATTCACCGCGTTGATTAGCATGCGTCGTCTTTATCACTCTGATGTTTTCATGCACTTCGACCTTGAGAAGTCCGTTGCAGTTGCAGCAATCATTTTCGAGTATACATAAGTTTTCCATGTTTAACATTCCACGTTGCACAGGAATTTAATCATGAGAAGCTAATTAATTAATTGACCCTTTCAAGAACTTGAAGAAAGCAATTTAGTAATGAAGTTTTATGTTAAAATTAAAAGTAGTTTGGAGTCAAGGGTCGAGCTTTACATTATCTAGTCATGAAACTGCGCGAAGCTGTAAAGAGTTATCGACTTGGAAATCGGCATTTGAGTCAGATAAGTCGGGTCTGTGTTTATCGACCCTTTCTTCCATAATCTGAACGAAGAGTGGTGCACAATGATTACGAGCGCTCTTGGCTTGTCATTCACGCAGCCCATGGCACATACGTCTTCCGGCCTGATTCTTCCAATATCTGGAGCAAATGAGGTCGATGCGAGAAGTCGCTTTTGACCAGAAGTACTCAGATGCGAATCATTTATTCAGTTACTACCTCCACGGTTTCTTGTGTTTTCGTTTGATACCAAGCATAGCTTAAATAATATTCCGGTGAAATTCATCAGATCAGCATTGACAGAGAACGTAGCTCGAACGTCGAAGGTAATCAACTGCTCTCATGTTCAGGAAGCATGCGGAATGTAATTCTGTGAGAGAGGACGACTCTTAGATCAAGTAAAACACTGTTGCAAGCATCTTCTGTAACAAAATGAACAGTCTTTCAACGTTCATTCCTTTATAGCTGTCTCTGCAAATAACGTCAGTGCGTTTTGCAGTACTGTTGCTTCCTTAAAGTATCAATACTGGTCATTTATTCTGAGACTATGCATTCAATTTACGTGTCCATGATGTCTGGAGTGGGCAACGACCACATAATGGATCGTATGTAAGGACAGCGGTGGTCGACTTTATTTTCCTGTCAGCTACAGTAGTCCTAGAAGTTACTCATATACCTTGAATCGATTGGGGCATCGAAGCTGTGGTAAATGGTGAATGATAGACCTCCTTTGTCTTTTCGTTTCTGTTTGCAAAATGCAATATTCTGACTCAAAACTGGGGCGGATCATTGGATGCCATTGTTCGTACTTGTCTTCAAAGAAAGCATGTTGCCTTGTTTATTAAGCCGCTTGTCTAACCATTAAAAGAATTGAATATTTGCATGTATCTTACATCTCTTCGAAGGTATATTGTATAATGTGCTGCATCACGGTACTTTTAGTTTCCTGTCTCGCTATCAGTCAGTTGATTTCGGTGATCGCTTCTCCTGTTGGGTCGTGGAGGCACAGCGTTAGGACAAAGTCTCCGTCTCCAATCTTGTACCAGCATCTGAGTTTCTGCAGAAAAAATCTGAATCTGGAGCACGGTTCATTGATACACGGTCACCAAGTGATTTTGAGATGTCCGTGGTGTCTTTTGTCAGTCATTTGAGCAAGTCGTAGCTGTTTCGCCATATGATTACAAATATACAGTAATACCTCCAGAAGTGAGCGAAACTTCTCCCTCATGCAGTTGCGTGAAGCTCATTGTTTTCTGAATCGCAGTTCTTGCCGAGTCTGCATTGAGTGTCAAGGTGTTTCAGGACCTGTTACTTGTTATTTGAACTTCACACTCAATTTGTAAGACATGCCAAACGTTTCAGTGGACATCCATTCTAATTCTTCTATGGTCTGGCATTCGTATCCAGATTTGAAAATTTATATTTCTTAATGTGATTCAGTTTCTTAAATCCGTTATTTTATTACTCTACTCAATTTAGGTTACGACCGTTCAGCCTAACCGTTTTTGGCTTCAGGTGGAAACTAATATTCATTTAGGGAGTGATTTGCTGTAGCTAGGTTCATCTACACTAGGTTATACTTGAACGCGGTTTTTGGCCATGATCATCACCCTGCTCCCCTCCCAAGCTTGAATGCCAGGCTATGATTTGCTTCCACTCCTAAATTGTCATGTCAAGTGATCTGATACTTTGACAAGCGTCGCAATCAGCGCCACACCGCCAGATTATCACTCGTTTGTCATCTAATTTATTTCATGCTCTACTTCTCGAATATGACTTCTATTAATGACTGTTTCGCTGCTTCACCGAGCATGAGGCTAAGTTGTTCTTTTCCATGTTGACCATTAATTGGTCTGCGTCTTGAATTCCTCCTCACAGTTTCCCTTTTCGAGGACAATCGTAAACCGTTTGGCAAATGATATGGTCTTGTGGGAAATTTATAAAATTAATGACTAATGATAATTTAACAAATTAAAGAAATGATCTTTGAAGTTTTCATTGGGTGTACGGCATAGCGGAATGGTTTCGTCATGTCGTATACAAGTGGAACGGAGACTTTTGCGAAGCAGAAAATGGGCAACGACCAAAGTGTGAGGCTGCATGGTCTTGTGAGGTACGGTAGAGTGCGCGTTCTGTATATTCAGCGTAGTATTCGTACACTTATCACGATCCTAGAAACAGTCAGTTGGCATATCTTCAAGAAAAATATGTATTTGTAATTGACACTCATGTTTGTAAAACTGAAAGGAAAGATAATGTTCAACCGCCCATCTTTGTCTCCAAGGAAAGCAGGGGGAGACTTTTCTTTGAATTTTCCATCTTCTGGACCAATAATGATATTAGTTAGACCGAAAGAAGTCCCAGATGACGTTTCGCTGAATGAAGTTACGAAATGAAAACGAAAGGAGTCAAGTGGTCATGATTGGCACCAGGAAAGGCATCAAGCAAAATGTTTGATAAATACTTTATTTATTAGCGTCCATCATAGTTTTCAAGAGTAGTTGGTTGCTGCTTTCAAAGGAAGATAGAATGCGACCAGAGTTTTCCGGACACTACAAAATGAGCAAAATAAGATATGTAGTTAACAATAAAACCAAAAAGTTACTCGTTCGTGAGTAATAGGCGTCTTTTCCAATGACAGTTGGAATGTAATCGTAATTGTCCAGGCACAATCGAACTGGAGAAAGGGAGATTTTTGAGGCGTTACTAAAGTTGAACAGGAAGGAGCAATCCACGAGGCAAGTTCAACATGACCACCGTAATTATGCTATGGCAGTTGATAATAAATTTCTACGCTTCTGATTCCTCTTGGCAGTTCGCAGTTGTTACAGTGTTAACGTTATGGAACTCCCTGACGGTGCAAGCAACAATTCCGGTGGCAACGACGCCAAGTGCAACCTACTGCATAGATGGTTTACCATCCTGGGATGCAAGATCGATCAACGTGGTCATTTTTGTTAATTTCATGCTAAACTTTTAAATCAGTAAAATTGTAACTATAATTGAATGTCTTGATCCCCTGAGAACTTGATTGATAAATGTTTCTACCTAATGGACATCGGGTATCATCGACGAATAGTACAACTGACATAGTGATCTGTGGGACGCTCTGCGCCTTGTTTCAGGGACTGATAATTATAATGCCCACAACTCGTATTTATTTTATTCCATGGTGATGAGGATCGATAAAAGCTCGTTTAGTCAAAGAGTCAGATTAATGTCAAATGCAAATAAACATCTAGTTTTTGATTCTGGGTCCCTAGTTATATAGGCATACATTTGAACGATTCATGATTCAGGGCAACAAACCCAGTAGATGGTATTAGCTTTATTGTCAACGCGATTCACTACACAGACCGTAGTATCATCAGTGCTGGACTGAACACAAAAGTGCGCAGGGAATCAGAAGATGTACTATTCGCATGCAATCATCCCTGTTGTGATATTAGTGTAAACTTAAGTAGGAAAATAACAAGTCGAGACAATGGTCCCGTGTCATTCCATTGGGATCAGTAATTGGAGTATTCCTATTCTGAATAAATTTGCATGAAGATGTCGTTCCGTTCCTCGGTTACCTTCACGGGTGCTTGTGCATTTAACGTTTGTGAAATTTATCAGAGCTACCGTCGTAACGTGGGTGAATGCGTTTCACTTTAAACTGGCACATGGTCCTTCTTACGGTGGCTGCCTGTTCTTTACAACATGGACGCGTGATGTTGATGCTGTACGGAACAGGTTTACAACAAGTACAGTGGAGTAAATCAGTGCATGGTTAGAGCTTGATTTTGGATCATTCTTGCTTGTTGAGATGATGCACAAAATCGTGACTTGTATTCGACAGCGTCGACATTAGTTCGAAGCTCAGTGGTGCATATCTCAGCAGAGGGACTGCGGGAATTATGTGATCTTATGCCGTTCCGTCGATTTCTTGACGTCAGCGTCTTGATGTCCTGTTGAGAAGGAAAAGCATGGTCTTGATGTCTCTGCATTCAGATAAACGTTGTTTATTCAATTAGAGACGTGCAGTCAGAAATGTTGAAAAATGTCCGTACATCGGATTGAGAGTTCACTACAGACATTTTGGCCTTTTACTCTGATTGCCTTATCATCTCGCAGTGATTAGTTCATATGGATCAATTAATGATTGGCAGTGAGTTTCGCTTAGAAAGTTGTCGGTCGTAGTACTAATATGGTGTTATTTTGTAGCATCGACATAGCTTGACAGTTCAAAGACAGTTTTTGAGAGTGGGGGTTATTGAGCGGAGATGGTGGCATGAAGGAGTAGGGAAAGTACAGTAAGAACATGGTAGCGATGCCTGCATAGGTAGATGGTGGACGGTCGATTGGTCGGTTGCCAAGGTCAGCCCTCGGCGGTACTCGCCGGTTGTCGTCCGGTCAACAACCTCCGTTCGTCGATGTCGCCCTTGACGACGACCAGTTGTCGCTGGTGGTGAAGCGGTGGCTGTTGTGCCAGACAAACAACTGAGGGCAGGAAAGCGTCAGACGTTGCTACTCGATCGTGCCTCGTCTGTGATTCTGAGGTGCGTCACGTCACCGTGGATCACCGGTGGTCGACGTAGCGTCGCGGTCCCTGTCGCAGGTGACGGTGATCGCGTTCGTTCGAATTCCACGTTGTCACAACTGCAACGACTACAACAACAGCGACAACGACTCATTAGTTTTTCAGCAGCCCACTGCTGCACCGCATCGCGCGGCACTCGGACGAGAGCCGAACTTGCCGCCACTGTCGCCGCCGCCGACGACAGAAGCGAGGTACGGTGAGGTTGACTTAGGACATGGTGTGCGTTAGGTTCGGTCGGCTGGTCACTAGTGATCGGAGTATTTTCCTCGTCCGATGACTGACCCGGTGCGTCTGCTGTCGAATTTCTTTCGATGCGCTCCTTAGAAGGAAGCAAATGCGAAACCGTGCTGAAATGGTCGCGTGAGTTAAAGAGAACGAAGGAGGCCGCGAAACAGGGAGTGTGATTTGCGTGTGTTTATCTGTTTTCCGTTTCTCATCGTCGACTGACTGATTGACTGACTAGCAACTGGACGACGACTAGAAGCGCACGCCGCGATGAGGGCGACTGGCGTTAGGTTATGACGACCGCGATGACGAAGAGGAAATTTCGGTGTCTCTTCAATTGGAGCCGCAGTCCTCAACATGTCGGTCCTCTTCTTGCGTCGTACCCCATCGTTGGAGGGTGAGGGTGTCGCATGGTGCCTGTCACGTGACTGCGGCGCAGCGGAGGCGAGCGACAGGCGCCGCTGCTACTGCTGCTGAGGAAGAAGTTATTTCCTCTCCGCCTCCGCGTGGCTCATCGTCGTCAACCTCCTGGCCGACTCGGCTTGGCTTGGCTTGACTTGACTTGGCTCAGCGGCGGCGGCCGGCTATCTTCTTCGCTTCGATTGTCGGCGACGCGCGGGCAGCAGCTCAGACGTCACTTGCCGCCGGCGCTGGCCTGCGGCGGATCTCGTCCGTTCCTCTTCGTTGTCCGTTCGTTGCCTCTACCTTACGCCGTCGTCGATCGCGCGATGTGCTTCCTGTGATGACGTAATGATGAAGTGACGTGGCTGATGGACGAAGAACGAAAGAGCAGCAGCAGCCGTGGCCATTGTCCACAAAGGGAGGACACCTTGGTCGGTGACAACAGATCGTCGTCGCCGCCGCCGCCGCCGTAGGCTTACGTCCAGGTTTGTCCGCCGCACAGTGCTGCTGTTGTACCCGCTCCTTCTTCCTGCGCCTTCGTCGTCTTCGTCGGTTGGTGTGTACACAGGCCGCGGCGGCGGTGGTGCTTGCGGTGGCTGTGGTGGCAGCAGCGGCGCTAGCGAAGGCGAAGGCGAAGGCGAAGGCGGATGGATCGCCGTGGCCGTGTTTACGTGTTGTGCGTTGTTCCGTTGCCCGTCCCGCCCGTCCGCCCGTCCGTCCGTTGCGTGTCGTTCGATGGTGGCGGTCAGCCGGAGCGGCACGCGAAAAGGGGAAGGGAAACTGGTCATCGCGCTCCGGTCGCCAATGCCGTGCTGCAAGCAGGACGTGTTATACACGCGGCAGGGCAAGAATCGGCACTTGCGGCCATGGCGGCGGCGACAGCAGCGGGGGCGGGGGCGGCGGCGGCAGCGGATAACGTCAACGGCGGTGGTCAACAAGCTTTGGACGGCGACGGCAACGGCAACGGCGACGGGTAGTTGAACCTCCGACGTTGCCATCGTTGTCCTGTTCGTCGGGCCATCGATCCATCGATCGGCGTCACCGTGGGAGTCTACAACGCTGATTGGTTGTTGTGGTGGGTCCACGGACGAACGGACGGCGGCAGCGGCAGCGGCAGCGGCGGCTGTGCGACATCCGCAACAGTCGTTGGGACTCCTACGGTAAACAACGGCGTGTCGCTGGTTTCGTTGCCCTCCTGTTTACGGTGAACATG